GGGCCCATTCCAGACAATGTGCCTTGCACATAGTGATCATCCGATCAATTCAGGGCCCATTCCTCAAAAAAATCTCAAGACAATTGAAAGGTCAAAGGTGGCCGAGAGCCCGTTTGGTAGCAAGAAAATCGGCTGTTTTGGTTGATTTTGCTGAAATTTATGAAGTTCTGCCTGAAGTGGCTGCATTGACTGATTTTGCTTATTTAAGAAAAAATATTTTTAAAATATATTTTATTGATAAAAAAATAAAAAATTACATGAAAAATAGCTAAAATGATCATCTATAGTAACTTCAGCCAATACAGCCAGAAAAGTAACTCCAACATTACTTTTTCTGCTTATCATAAAATTTAACGCGTGAAAGCAAAAGTTACGTGTTTGGTGAAAAAGTTGGGTGATAAGCCGAAAAACGATGTTGCCAAACAATGTGTCCACAATTTTCCCTCAACTTCACCGTCTGGTTGAAAATTTTTAATTTCTGTATTACATTTTGAGCCTGTTTGGTAGCACCAAAATCGGCTGTTTTGGCTGATTCTGCTGAAATTTATGATATTCTGGCTGGAGTGGCTGTTTTGGCTGATTCTGCTGATTTAAGAAAAAAATATTTTAAAAATATATTTTATTAATAAATTAAAGAAAAAATTATATGTAAAATAGCTAAAATGGTCCTCTACAGTAACTTCAGCCAATACAGCCATAAAAGTAACTCCAACCTTACTTTTTCGGCTTATTACACAATTCAGCGCGCGAAAGTAAAAGTTACGTGTTTGGTGAAAAAGCTGGCTGATAAGCCTGATAAGCCGAAAACAGAGTTCTCCAAACGGGCTCTTTTATTCTCATACAGAGTATAATGGTGGTGATTGTGAAACTCAATTCATGGTATCTCTCATTTTACTTCACCACCACACACACCAGAACATAACGGAATAGCCGAGCACCTCGTAACATTCTTGAAACCGGTCGATCTTGCCCTCCTAATCCTCTCTAACCATTGTGGTATGAGCAGTGGCGGAGCCAGCGATTCATTTGAGTTGTGTCAATTTTTAAACTAAATTCTACTTCTATGACATAATTTTAAACACTTTATTGATGACTATACATTTTTTTCAATTATTTGAGCCAAACTTTTGGCTTTAATACCAAAATACCACCCTGCATATACAACCTTTAGATAAACTAATCGGATGGTCAAGATTAGTTTATAGTTTGTAAATTATGAGAGGTTTGTATTTGATCTCTTATATATGTATTTGACTTTGTATATATATATATTTGAATAGTTGGGAATGAATTAATTATTTCTATAATTTGTTTCACTATTCTTAAATGGTGATAGTTTCAGTATTATCTAACATTATGTTCCCTTTAATATATTGTACATTTTTTTCATTGTTGGTACTTTCAAACACTTTATATATTGATAAGAATTTTTAATATAGATAAATACTCCCTCCGTCCCGGAAAACTCTTCTTACTTTGACTTGGATCGGAGTTTAATGCAAGTGATAAATGACATTGACTTTCCATGTATACCCCTATACTAAAGAAAGAAGCGGCTGAAAGGGAAGGAGGTAAATTTTTTTAGTGCAAGTACAATAAAGCTAAATTTGATGTGATAGCTGCAAAACAAGGGATAATTCCGTGTGCATAGCATACAATCCAGGTTGTTTTGGAAATCCTACTTACATAAAAAGTTCCCTCCAAAATTTCTCTCCTCTTTTACTATCTATAAATACACTTTCCAAAAGTAGAGTTTACTACACACAGCACACACAACATATGGCAGCCAACATAAATGTTGCCCAGTCTTCTTCTTCCCATTATGCACCTTCCATAAATGAAGATTTGGCTTCATCTCCCTTAACTGCTTCTGCACCTTCCATAAATGAAGACTTGCCTTCATCTTCATTAGGCTCTTCTGCAGATCTGCAAACAACACTACAAGACCCAAACTCAAATACCAAAGCAAAAAGATTAGGAAACAAGGAAAGAGAGAGCATAGTAGATGAAATGTTAATCACTGCTAAAAGAGATATTTCCGAGGCATTAGTAGCTCAGAGAGGTGTGTTTTCTAAGCTTGCCACTAAATACTCAGTGACTAGAAGAACTATTTTCAACATTTGGAACACAGCCAAAGAGCAACTTGAAAAAGGGGATGCTGTAGATGTAACAACAAAGTGGCTGGGAAAATCAGGCAGAAACGAGCCCTTCCTGCGTGCCACAAATGACCTACGAAAAAGAAAAATCCTAGAACAAAATGTGGCTTTCCCCTCTATGCCACAAAAAGGCTGTCTTAGAAGTGAAACCTCTCTGCCACTCCAAAGAAAGAGTAGGATTCTATCTTGGTGGACTATGTTCACTCTTTTCCTCTACTTAGCTAGCAGCAACCGAGGACTCATCCAATCCAATGATTTGCCTCTCCTTAGACACTTATTGATTGAATTTGGCTCAACTGAAACGACTTTTAAGAAAATGGTCATCTGAATTGGATGTTGTCATTTTTAATAGAAACAAATAAAAAAATCTAACTTTTGAAGACTCAGTAACTTATGAAAGGAATCTATGTTATTTTTGAGTTATGAAAAAAATCTATGTTAACTTTTGAAGACACTTGCCTCTACTTTTTCAGTATCAAGGTCAACCATTCACAAGCTGGTTCACAGAGGTATTCTCAGAAGTCACACTAATGCTATAAAGCCTTTGCTAAGTGACACAAACAGGATGTCAAGACTGAATTTCTGTTATAGGCAGGTAGACACATCAATCCCAGAAAAACCAGTTTTTATAAACTTTCAGAATGTCATACACATAGATGAAAAATGATTTTTCCTGTCCAAAACATCACAAAGATACTACATGGGCCTACAAGAGCAGGATCCACATAGAGTATGCAAATCCAAAAGATTCATAACTAAAGCGGTGTCACTGGAGCAGTTGGTAGGCCTCTATTTGCAGATAATGGAGATGTAATTTGGTATGGAAAAATTGGAATTTTCCCATTTGTTGAGAAAGTGGCAGCCAAAAGAAAAAGCAAAAACAGAAATGCGCGGGTCATGGAAACCAAGCCTATACTTAACATTACAAAGGCAGTGTTTAAAGACATGCTAATCAGCTAGTGCTACCTGCAATCAAGGACAAATGGCCTGAACAATTAAGCAAGGAAATCATTATCCAACAGGATAATACAAGGCCACACATTCTAGATTTTGATCCAGATTTTATGGCTATCTCTAAAGGAGATGAGTTTAACATTACCCTTACTAATTAGTCCCCTAATTCCCCAAATCTCAACATACTAGACCTTGGATTCTTTATGGCGATCCAGTCTCTAAAAGACCGGAAAGCATCTAAGAATGTGGATGAAATGCTACAGGCAGTTGAGGCATTTTATGAGCGTTCACCCATGACTCTCAACAAGGTGTGGCTTAGCTTTCAATATGTTATGTTAGATATTTTCAAAGTGGAGGGGGGGGGGGGGGCTACAAGCTACCACATAATGAAAAGGATAGAATGATTGCAGAAGGAACTCTGCCCACAAGCATAGAGGTTGATGTGGAGCTGCTTGATGCTGTAAGAGGTCTTTTATCCCAACCAGTAAATACCACCAGTACTAATCAAGACTCAGAAGAGCCAAATAATGGGGAGTTCATACTAGAATATGATGAGGAGTAGTTCATCTTCAGTCATGAACTCTATCCATTATTGTATAGGTCTGATTTTTTGTCATTTTGTAAAGGCCTATACTTATTTAAATGTAGAAAAGGTCACATTGCAAAGGTCTGTTTTTGTGAATTAGTACTAGCCTGTATTTGTAGCTACTCAGAATTGAATTCACCATTGTGCTCTCATGATATATAATAATAAATATCATTTTTATAAATCACATTATTTGTTTATAAAATGATTAATGATCATGTTTTTTTTTTACCCCAGAAGGTCAACCACCAAAATCAGTGGGGTAAATGCCAGGGAACATTTACCAGATTTTATTAATGTGGAGATTACACAAACAATCGAGGGGGCCAAGCCTTACCCGACAAAAGTAAAACAAAACAAAATCAGTATCTAAAGGACGGAATGCCATAGAAGTCCATCCAATAAGAGCGTTTAACAAAAATAGGAAGTTGATCGACCTGAATATAAATTTTTGATGATCATGTAAATTAACAATTGAGCTTTATTTTTAATAAATCTCCAACAATAATTGATTGGTTTCATTCATAATTAATGGTTTACTTTCTTAATTGTTGATGATTCTATATTGAGCGTTGGTGTTATAATTTGTTGATTTTTCTAGATTTTTTTTAGATAATACTTTAATTCATAAATTTAATTAATTTTAATGTGTAATAGAAATGATTGAGTTTGAATATGATCAACAATAAAAGAAGAGAAATTAGAGAAAGCGACGCTAAAGAAGGTTTGGATAATGAAATCAAATTCTGAATGCCCTCATCAAGAGGAGAACTCAGAGAAGAAAAATAATTTAGCTAACGAAAATGAAACGATTCAAAATGATCACTTCATTGGATGAAGAAATTTAGGAGTAGGTATTAATTAAGCTGGCTCCTTAATTAGGACTAAAACTAGTAAAGAGCACAAAAAAGACCGTCATTATTTTCTTTCTAAATATTTACTAGTATACTATAATATTATTGATTTAGATAGAAAGATATTTATCAGATTTTTTCATAAATGTCCTGAAGTATTACTGCTATTATCATTACACATGTTTTACAATTTTACTCCCTCCGTCCCATTTTACCTGTCCTACTTTCCTTTTTTGTTTGTCCCAAAATAAGTGTCTCCTTTCCTTTTTTGGAAAAAAATATGTGACCTAAACCATTTCACTTTGTTATACTCAAACCTCAACCAAAACTTTTATTTTTTCAACCACTTCATTAATAATCGTGCCAAGTCAAACTAAGATACATAAAATGGGACGTAGATAGTATTTAAGATTAAGCCCAATTTGATTGGGCCTTCAAAAGGATCGGCACATGACGCCTACTTAAATTTGAACTACGGATAATCCGATCCCTCTTTCCGATCTGATGATGGCTGTCTATAGGCGAAGTAAAACTGTGATTAGTGAGCTGCCGGAAGAGATTAATGAAAGAATTTTGGAGCGATTGCCCACTCGAGACGCCGCCAGATGCGCTCTGCTCTCAACTCAGTGGAGGGATGCTTGGTACCGCCAAGGGCGACTCGTCTTTGACTCGGCCTTCTACAGCTCCATTCAAAACCGTAACGACGACGACTTGTCTGTCGTGAGCATAATCAACCAGATTCTCATGCTCCGAGCTGGACCCGTTAAGAAATTCACGTTTCACGATTGTACCTCATTTGAGCCGCCGCTGAAACAGTCTGATTTAGACAGGTGGTGTCTTTTTCTGTCAAGAAACGGCATTGAGGAACTTCACCTCTCCATGAAACATTCTCGATCAGAAGAAATTAAGGTACCATCCTGTCTACTCTCATCCAAGACCATCAAGCAACTGGAACTTGAATATTTCGTTTTTTATTTGCCGGTAAATGGTGCCTGTATATTCCCCGGGCTGACTTCGTTAGATTTCAGATTCGTTGAGTTCAGGGGTAATGATAAGGAACTGGTCTTTAGCATGCCCAAGCTTGAGAGGCTAGAATTCCTTGTGTGTTATTGTACTCCTAAATTTGTCACCAGTGCTCCCAAACTTAAAAGTTTGTGCATTTATGATTACTAGATTCTCACCCGCGCGATGCGCGGGATATTAAAATATAATAACGATATGATATTATTTATAAATATTACTCGGTCATGTGAAATAAATGCAAATTGTCATAGACGTAACATGCATAATAAATTACTCCGTATAATTGTAGATCAGATAGTGAAAACTCAGAAATAGGTAGTAAGTATGTTTTGGAGTAAGTAGAAAAAAGGAAATGTTATATAGAGTTTCACAATCTATTGACAATGCATAATCATTGACTTTTTTTATTTCAACATGTGACAAATATTGGTCTTGGCTCTTGAGAAAGTTTATTTAAATCAATAATAAAAATAATTTTTGAATTATTTATAAAATTAATGGTATCTGAATAAGAACAATACTAACACTAATATACTTTCACATATGCTTATGATATTTTCTTTTTTGTTATATGCAATTTTTTAAAAGTGTTTGTTGTAAGCTAACAAAATTTCGCAAATCAGTAAAACACAATCTAATAATAATAATATGTAATCTTATTATTATTTTTCGTATTATTAATACATTTATACTGATAATGAAATGCAATAATAATGTAATATACCCTGTAATATGTAATTGACCATAATCCTAATACTTATCAGCCCAACACTAAAACGGTGCTGATCATCGATTATTACAATCCAAAAATTTATTACAATTGGCCCAGACATAAGTAGGTGACACGATTATTAAGAAAAATAAGTTTATGTGATTGATTTGAATTGATAACGTAAGAATGAAGTAAGAATACAAACTTACCATCTTTTATATGAGACAATCTTTGTAGGACGGAAAAAAATGAAGAGATGGGGCATTATTAGAGGACATTGTGAGTATTATTTGTTGACATTCTGAGTTAGTGTGTGAACGAATGCAAATAACATAGATGTAATAAGAGATAGTTACAACTGATAATTGGTATGAAGTGTAGTTTTTTCGAATAAGAAGCAAGAAATAAATAAGGTTTCCGCTTATACACATTTTGAAACACTTCAATTCCTTGTAAACAATATTTATATTATGCTGGATTTGTTGATCATCTTCGCCGCAAATCGATATTTTCACAGCTTTGTGATTTGTTACTCTCAATACTGTAACAAAAATGAACAATCATTAATAGTTGCTATTTTAATAATAGTTCAACATCCAATAAAGATTAACCTTGATGGTTACTTCTAGTAATCATATAAGAGATCATGACATGAGGTTGTCTTCTTTAAAACTTAATTGCTCTAAATTTAGATAAAAATTGAAATAGTACCTTAATCATACTTTTTATAACATTGAATACGTGAACTTTTGAAAATAATTAATCATAGATAAACAAAAAAAAAATATATTTATAATTAATAATATTAAATAATAGTTTAAAAATTATTAGTATTATCAAAACATTATAACAGCTAAATGACTTAGGCCCATAACTTAACCTAGTATTTATTATCAGCTCACTAAATTGGACTCAAAAGCCAAATCCAGCCCATTTGTGCCAACAACCCAACAACCCAACATAACCTAGCTGACTCAACCGCCTAATACATAAACATATCTATGTTCAGCGCCGCTTGATATATCCGTACACACTCCTGGAGACTCGTCGTCGGTTACACCTAGTTATGGTCTCCAGAACGCTCCCTTCTCCCCGTCTGAATCCGCGACCATCTGAATCTCCTTCTTTGTCTCACTGTTCAAGCGACCTCCTGGGGCGTCATGTAAAGCGTACGGTCACCACAATTTGGAATCCACCGCTACTCCGACCAAATCGAGCGCTTACGCATTTGCGTCAGTCTAATTGGTACATATCTCTTAAGTTTGACAAAAAGTCGTCCTCAATTTCATTTATGGTGTCATTAGTGTTAAGTTATCCATATGTTTTTTTGATTAACAGTTTTCATCCCTTGCGTATAAACATGCGATGAGTTAAACAGTATGAGCAGATCTTGTTTTCTTTATGGAAAGCATGTACTTTTTGAATTGATTTGTTCCGAAACTATTTTGACTCATTTTACGAATTGTTGTAAATGAGGTTTTAACTTTACTATCGAGAACGGATCTGTCACAATATCATATCTGTGGCTAATTAAAGATGGCACAAATACGCACTTTAATCTCTAAATAATGAGATTTATAGTCAAAGAATGTCACACATTAAAATTTCCTCGTTGATATTGTTATGTTGATTTAAAAATAAGTGATCAAAACTATTGGGTCTTTATTGATTAAAACTGTTATTATTGATTAAAGAGTATTTTTGAAATCATGTTATGTTGAAGTCCAGTTCGGTAGTACCTATATACTCTACTATCGTATAATATAATCTGTATGTTATTTAATTTTTCTGAATTATTTTTTTTACTGAAAATCAATTTTTGTAACTATACGCATATGCTAATACGTATTACATATTAGATTAATACAAATGATTTTATACATATATGAGTATATGACTATGTGACTCAATGGTTATCCTTGATACATGAGCTGTTCTCCTACACTCTTTTCCTATGCACACACACATAAGTACTTGAAGCCGGTGTTTTGATTACTCAAGAATACATGTACACTTTCAATGTGAACAATTCAAGTATGACTTGAATTGAATACCTATTTTTTTTAAGAAGTGATTAATCTTTTTATCTGGAGACTTTAATATGTTCATATTAAATTGAAGTGGAAATAATATTTCTGAAGCCTAAATTCTGAAACATGTTTGAAAGTTTCAGTTTTGTCCAAATGCAATTCATTAAAAATGTTTTTATTATTGATAATTGAATTGATTGTATTAAATTACTGGCAAGTACGACAGCCATGGTTGTACCTAAATCAAACTTTAGATCTGTCCCAATTTAATCTGTTTATAACTTAATTTATTTCTTATTATCTATCTTCATTCTTTAAGCCATATAAAAATTGAATCTTGAATTGCATTTGAGCACATTCATAATTTTTTGTAATTGGCAACTTATATAATATCAGTAGCATTTTGAATGACAACTTTTATGAAAAGTATTATATTATTAATATTGATCTAATATGGAAATATACAATGCCCCGGTTTTATTTTTTTTAACCCTATATCCATGTTTGAAAAACCATGTTATAAATAAATAGTAATTGAATAATAAGTTAAAAACCATATTATTTACCCTAATGGATTAATAATATTGTTATTAGCATTTTCTTATTTAGGCATCTCATTCACCATATATCTTTTTGTTGGCCAAGGCCAAAATGTTTTTTTGTTATTTTGAGTTACTTGTTTATCATATAGAAAATGTATATATGTTCTGGAAACTTGATAAGGTTCCCAATCGTGTAATCATAATAAAAATCTAATTATTAATTAGATTACAACATGATATGCATGTTCAGAGTTTGTGCAGCTTCAAAGGCAGGTATGAATCCCAGTAAGGTACGTAGTATTATTTTATTATTTCAGTTACACTTATATGCTGCATATATGTTTATTTTTTGTCTAATCAGCTTACACTAAAAGTTTTCTGTAATTTAATAGCACATAAGATAACTTTTAATAATATGAAATAATTATATTATTCATTCTTGAAATATTATACATATACAGTATATACATATTACATTTGAAGAAGTGATATATAAACTTTATAGTGATTTATAAAACCTTGATTTCAAATCATCCCTCTGTTTTGGTTGGTAGTTGTGGCATCCCTGTCTTTACCTGTTTTTTTTTAGAAAATACTAAACCTGCACGAAAATTGCCTGGTTGTTTTAGAATAGTTTTTCAAGAATCCAATAGTATACTTGTTCAGCCTGGAAAACAACTTGTATTATTTTCATCACCCCTTTCTGCCTGAAATAAACAATTATAAAACGGTTTTATGCTGATGTGGAAACATGATTTCAAAAAATAAATGATACATTAGTGTTTCTCACCTTAGTTAGCACTCCACCCTTAAATTTTTGGTAAACTCCTTCCTAAAATAGGACAACAATATAATATAGTTAGATGAAGAGTTTTCAATAGGGACATGGCCCCTAAGTTGCCAACCCAAGTTGTGCTATCATCTCCTCTCCCAAATCTGATTTACAAAATATGTTCATACATGCCATTATTAATATTCCACAATATCAATGTTGAGATCTAAAAATTTTAAACTATGATGGCCACTCATCTGAAGTGTGATTACTTTGATACACCATCAAACTTCCAATACTCTCACCTTCCTTGCCATGGATGTGCAGTGCACGCTGCTCTGGGTGCTTCACCTTCATTGTGGTGTGGTTGCTCAAACCATCATTGGGTTTATATAGGGGCGGATGGGAGGTGATGAAAAACAAATTGAGTATTGAGTAATAACCAATGGTCAAAGCATACACAATCTCTACTTTCAAATTTTATAGTACAACCATTAATTATAATATTGCAAGATCCGAGTGTTCACATGTGCATTTTGTAAAGCAAGTACATTGCATTTAATGTTGTGTGGCTCAAGAATTGCATGAAGACTTAATGTGTGGCCTCTAACCTTTTGAGTACAATGCTTGTACTTTTTTATTATTATTGCATTTAATGTTGTGTGGCTCAAGAATTGCATGAAGACTTAATGTGTGGCCTCTAACCTTTTGAGTACAATGCTTGTACTTTTTTATTATTATTGCAGCTCTGTTTTCTTGAGCCAATAAACTGATCTCTCGAGCAGCACAAACTGCACTGGACATTGGGCCTGTACTGGAAGTTGCTGAGCAGAACAGAGGAGGACTTGCTACATGACCCGTCCCTGAACCCATATCCCCTGACCCGGCCCGTTACTGTACAGTGTTTGGGCGGGAACACTGTACAGATTTCATTTTGCCTTTGTATAATAAAAGATATATAACTTGGACTGGAAGCACATTGCTCCCGCTTCATTTGAGCTCTATTAATACCCTCTCTCTGCATTTGTTTTCGGTGAAAATTTCATCTGTTCTCCCTCATATATTGATATTCATTTGTATTATAAACATGTTCTTTTTTGTATTACATTTTTTTTATTAGTTGAATCAGCATGAATCAGTTTTGTTTATAATTTGATCTCTACGCT